AAAACCAAACTGTCCACGGATTAGAGTTTGATGCAACGATCAGTTCCAATACCTAAAGACTGCTGATGTTAGCAATATTTGTGTCACCTTTTATACGATTTGAGCAGCGACATTTCTTTTATTTTTTTGTTGTTTTCTAATCTGCAGTATGTTGAATAATAATAATGATGTTCTTATCATTTGTGCCTGCACAATAATAATCTTCTAGTATTTTTATTACTGTTGCACTTTTTTGCACCTTTTGATGAGCATAAATATTGATAAGAACGCATTAGTTTTTGATTTGTTTGTTGCGAAATTTAAAAAAAAAATTATAGATATTTTTAAATATTTTGTTTTGTTGTGATGAGTTTTAGTTATTGTGATATCCGCAAACTTGACACAAGTGCAAGTGTGCTGTTTATGTTTTATTCAAGGTTGAATATGTTTGCAGTTGGTTTCTGGAGAAAAGTTTACTTATAAAATAAGATCATAAATAAAAATGCTTTGGGTTTATAATTTTCAACGTTTTTGGTTATCTGAAAAACCCTCATGAATATTACATTATATCTGTCTTTTTCGTGGAATCTAAACATATGGGCAATTCCATGAGAAGTTAAACCATGACTGACAAAATAAACTTTTGCGTTTTTGATGATAATCCAACAAAATTCGGTGTATGCATCAAAGACGAAAGCTGCTGAAAGCTTTCATTACAAATATCGCTTTATAGCTTATAATTATATTACTTATAATACCATCCCTTCAGATTTTTCAATATGCAAAGGTCGCGGTCTTTAACATCTATTATTTACAGCAACTTAGATACATATAAGTGATCTGATGATAAAATGTTATCTGTGTGATATATCTATAAGTACTGCAGAGCAATACTGTTTACTTTCAAAGGTTTTTCGGATAAGAGTAGCTTTTCGATGTATATACCTCTTCGATGGTACTATAAGTTTTCCTTATTAATCTTTAATAGCTGTAAATGTAATCACATTTACCAAATCGATCACTTTTACGGATTTCCAAATTGGTTGAAACATTTAATAATGTCTCTATTATAGACGCTAAGAATCCGCTAAGAAGTCATACGTTTTTGATTACAGCAAAATCAATGAGTAACATTTTCATTCTAGCTCTGTCTTTCACGTTACTGAAGCTCGTCTCTCTTGGTCCTTGATAAAATTTCGCTAAGGCTTCTTACTGGACACTGTCAGATCTTATGGGCTAACCAAGTAAAATATTGCAGAAGTTGTTCAGATGAGGAGGTAGAGCGATCAATGCTCTTTGCCTCAGATTTTGTGAGAGAGTCCGATTTTTCTTTTGGAGTGTCGTTGGATTGACTAACTATAATTTCCGGAAACATCTTCCTTCTGTGCTCCAGATAGTCGTTTCTTAGTAATAGGTAGTTTAGCTTCATATGCTATCACTCACCTGTTTCACCATTTGCTCTACTTCATCCTTTTTGGGATTTGCTATAATGGTGTTGTTATTATCATCTGAGGATTGAGAGTCGTAACCCTCACCTATATTTAAAGGCTGAGGTAGCTTAGAGCTCTCTCCGAGTACATCCTTCTCTTTCACCTCTATGTTTTTGCCAATGGCATGCTGTACACTTGACGCATTGTCCACCACGGAGGCCAAGGTAGTATTTTGCTCACGATTGCAGGATGACAACGACACGTGACTCGCGAGTGGATCAACACTTGCCGCCGGTACTGGGTTATTTAGGCCCTGCACTGTAACATTCATCTTTTTGTTTTCACTTTCCATGTTGTTTTTTCCCCAGTTTTTTGGTCCGCGGGGTATATAATATTCCCAGGTGGTGGACAATCTGCCCTCCCTCAGCTTGAGTCAAACTTAAACTGGGGGAGGACAGATGGTCCATTACCACCCCCTATCCGCGCTCGGTAGGAAACATGGGAAAACTCCCCCGAGCGTTTGACTTAAGAACAGAAAATTTTAAGAAAATGGCCAAAGACTCTTAAGTAAATAAATTATTAAAACTCTTTTAACTTTGATTTACTGTCAACAGGACATTAAGGTTATATTAAGGTTATACATATGTATTAGGTTATATAAATCAAAGTCTTAGCTTTCGAGGCATATTACATTCTTTGCAAAACAAAATTTTTTCTAAATATTATTTTTATGCGAAGTTTTCTTAAAGGCTGTCCCAGTGTGGCATGCATCACTAATAAATGTATCAACATTTATTTAAAGTACTGACCAAATTAAGAAAAATATGGGGCAAATGGCCTCCGAGTATTCTCGCTAATTCGTATTCTATTCATAAAACCTAACCTACATACATATATTTTAATGCTATAACATGTTCCTATTGCCAATGAAGAGGGAGCCACTTTAGTAGCAACCAAAACTTATAGTTTGGCTCACACTTGACTTTTAATAAAACAATATTTCAAATTGTACTTGTTTTAATCTTATTTAAAAAGTTTTATTATTTAACTGTAACAAACAGATTTCAGCACACGTTAAAAGGTTCCTGAAATAAATATTTTTAGTTCTAAACAATTATAAAATAAAGAGATAAACAACAAAATTTATATTTTTTTAATTGCTTTTTTATTTAACAAAACTTAAATTTTTAACATCACATTAGGCAAATTGATTTCCATCAATTTAATGATAGTAGCTGTAGTCGAAGTGGCCGTAGTTTTTGTATTTCTGTTCAAAGTACTTGTCGAAAGTTTCCTTGTGGTAGATCTTGACATCCTTGAAGTACATGTTGGGTACGAAGAATTCGTATTCATCGATTTCACGATCGAAGGGATAGCCGAAAGGCATCTCATCGATGTAACGGACACCAGAGCCGATACCACAAGAGTAGGAGTAGTCGAAGGTAGAGAATTGTTCGTAGGAGGCAGTGTAGGGAGTGACATAGAAGAAGAATTGCATGGGCATACCCTTGACCCAACCATGGGGCAAGACCAAACGGTCGGGGAAACCACAGTGAGGTTCACTGATGTCCAAGGGGAAGTCGTATTTGCCTTCGAAGGCAAGCATGACGTATTTGTATAATTCAGTGTAGGAAGTGCGGTCTTCAGTGGTCCAGTAGAAGTCCTTGGAGTAGCGCTTGAATTCATTAACACCAGACTTAAGAGTGTAGACAAAGCTGTCGAGTTCCATGAAGTTTTCACGGTTTTCAGTCAAGGAGATAACACGGCCGAATTCGTCGTATTTGGGACCCAAGAAGGTGCGGATAACAACCTTTTGTTCCTTGTCGGATTCAATAATGAAATCAAAGTCGAAGGGCTTGTGGTTAAGGCGCATTTGACGGGCCAACAAAGTCTTATCCCAAACAAATTGACCATCAACGAAAGTCATCTTATCGTTCAACAAGTTGGTGACATCAAAGTCAACCAAATCGAAGAAGGTAACCAATTCACTGACCTTAACGTCCTTGATGGTAACACCAGGGAACAACAACTCTTCGTGAGTGTAGGGTTTGACATAGTAGAAGAATTGGAAGTAGACGGAAGCAATCTTCTTGTAGAACATGTAGAACATAGGATCACGCATCATGGTTTCGTAGTTCAAGAAGATGTGGGGGAAGACTTCCAAATCGTGAGTGTTGACATCACCGAAGTACATATGGGCGAACATGTACCAGTATTTGAAGAAGTATTTGTCGAAAGTGTCAACATTGCCTTGCATAATGCTGCCAATGTATTCAATGGATTCAGGTTTGCGCAAGTCAATGGTCTTGCCTTCGTAAGTGACATAGACACCCTTGGTGATGATTTCATCCAAACGTTTGAAGAAGTCCATAACCTTGTAGTAGTAGTCGTATTTGCCGTAGCTTTCAACTTCGTAGTAGTTCTTGCGGTAAGAGTAACCAACACCATTGTAGTAAACCAATTGAGGGTTGTAACCGTATTCGATGGTGTTGAAGTAGGAGAATTCGGGAATTTCACCAAAGCCTTGAGACAAACGTTCCATGTAGTAACGAGACAAAATTTGGCGGACATTGTATAACCAGTATTCACCACGACGATCCTTGTTCAAACCATAGGTCTTGCCATCCAAGAAGAAAGCGTAGTCCATGTTGAGATAGTACCAGTAGGCGTTGAAGCCAACATCTTCAGTGAAGTAAGACAAAGCAGATTCCTCGTTGAAGAATTCAATGTCACGGGTGTAGTCAACAGGCATGAAGAACATCTTGGTGCCTTCGAAAAGTTCCAAGTATTTGGAGTCCTTGTTGTATTTGTCCATGTTTTCGCGCAACATGAAACGGTCTTCAGAGTACCAGTGTTCACCCAAACCCATCATCTTGTACCATTGCCACATCTTAAAGTCCTTGGTGTAGTAATAGTAGTAGTGGTTGTCATGGTTCTTGTAGAAGGTAGCGTAATCCTTGTAGAGGATATCCTTGTATTCCTTCTCGTACATGATGTATTTGCTCCAAACTTGGTAATCGAATTTCTCAGCTTCATAAACGAATTTGCTGTTGAAGAAGTATTGAGGGAAGATTTCGTAGATGGAAGGCAAGATCAAGCCATGGAAATCATCACGGTGGATGACAGCCAAAGTCAAAGCATAGACGAACATGCCTTCGTTGCAGTGCATACGAGCCCAGGCAACGTTGCGTTGGAAGACTTCCCAGTTCTTGGCGTAGTAGAAGAATTCAAACAAACCATAAGCTTGCTTAAGGTGGGTCTTTACCAAGGCACCGAAGAATTCACCCTTGGGTAAAAGAGCATCGTGCTTATAGGCTTCGTAAAATTTCTCCATGTACATATCGAAGTGCTGAAATTAAAATTTATAGTTAAAAAATATTTGAAAAATGCTTTTAATGTTCCTGTAACTTACAGAGTATTCAGCTTTGTCAAAAGTGAAAGTCTTGCCCAACTTGATCCATTCCTCGAACATCAAGGGATCCTCAACACGGTAAACAATTTCGAAAAGGAACTTTTGTTTAGCCAAAAAGTCCTTATCGGCGATTTTTACATCCTGCTTAGAGATGGCACTGCCAGCAACTAGGCCAACAATAGCCAATAAAGCGATAGCGATTTTCATTGTTTAGTCCTTCAACAGAGCGCGTAAAATTCAAAACCAAACTGTCCACGGATTAGAGTTTGATGCAACGATCAGTTCCAATACCTAAAGACTGCTGATGATTGCTTAATTTTTGCGCTTTTTATACAAATTATGTAGTTCCGATTTGTTCGGGGAGTGAGCTTATCACTCCAGATGCATGAAATCATCAGGTTTTTTTTTCGTTTTTGTTTTTGCACGTAGCATCTTGCACTTTTTACCTTTGAGACATAAAAGTGATAATAATTTAATTAGTGCATTTTTTAATATGTTTTATTATCAGTGTTCCTAGTTGTTATTATGTTATTTTTATATTTTTAGTTTTGTTTATAATTTAGTGCAATATTATGAGCTTTATGAATTTAAGACGATTTTAGCATCAAATAGATTTCTGGAATCTTTTCAAAGATCTAGAATATTAAAGAAGTGTTTTGAATTGAAAATGGGTAAAACATATTTCGTTCTTTGTGTTCGATTTTGTTTTTTGATCTTACAGCCAGTTGACTAAGGAGAGTCTTCCCGTCAATATCATATAATTTGGCATTATATGCGCCCAATTTTAGTTGTTTTTATTGTGAAAATTTTCCAAATAGATCGTTATGTTGAATGTGGCTCTAACTCGTTATTTGCAAAACAGCCTTAAACCTTATTTAGGTTTTGGTAGCACTGCCGTTAAAAGAATAATATCCGTGATAGTCTTAGAAAACTTTTAAAAAGTTCTGTGGTTTCTTTTCGAAAATTCACTATATTGTATATACTATCAGTTACTTGGGTCTTCTAGGGTTAAAAATACCATAGGACCGTTTGTATTTTGCTAATAATTCGCTAGTTTTAGTTTTACATAAAACTGATTTATTCAAAATTATAATTCGCTAATGAAAATTTCGGTTATATTAAGTCTTCATGTAAATTTGAAAAATAACTAAAGTAATAATAATAAAGTAATAATAATATTTAATATATTTTAAAAAAATATTAGTTTTATTTAACAATAATAATAACATCAATAAGTAATACCTAATGAATGTAGGCGTAATCGAAGTGACTAAACTTTTCATATTTGTAGCAATAATACTCGGGCTCGTAATACTTTTCGAAGGTCTTCGTGTGGTAAATCTTAACATCCTTGAAGTACATGTTGGATACGAAAAATTCGTATTCATCGATTTCACGGTCGAATGAATAACCGAAAGGCATTTCATCAACGTAACGAACGCCAGAGCCAATACCACAAGAGTAAGTGTAGTCGAAGGTAGACAAATGTTCGTAGGAGGCATTGTAAGGAGTGACGTAGAAGAAGAGTTGCATGGGCATACCCTCCACCCAACCGTGGGGTAAGATCAAACGATCGGGAAAACCACAGTGGGGTTCGCTGATGTCCAAGGGGAAGTTGTATTTGCCTTCGAAAGCAAGCATGACATATTTGTACAATTCAGTGTAGGAAGTGCGGTCTTCCACGGTCCAGTAGAAGTCCTCGGAGAGACGTTTGAATTCGTTGATACCAGATTTGAGAGTGTAGATGAAGCTGTCGAGTTCCATGAAGTTTTCACGGTTTTTCGTCAAGGAAATAACACGGCCGAATTCGTCGTATTTGGGGCCTAAAAAGGTGCGGATAACAACCTTTTGTTCCTTATAGGATTCAATAACGAAATCAAAGTCGAAGGGTTTGTGGTTAAGACGCATTTGACGGGCCAACAATGTTTTGTCCCAAACGAATTGACCATCAATGAAATTCATCTTGTCGTTCAACAAGTTGGTGACATCAAAGTCGACCAAATCGAAGAAGGTAACCAATTTACTGACCTTAACGTCCTTAATGGTAACACCAGGGAACAACAATTCTTCGTGAGTGTAGGGTTTGACATAGTAGAAGAATTGGAAGTAGACGGAAGCAATCTTCTTGTAGAACATGTAGAACATTGGATCACGCATCATGGTTTCGTAGTTCAAGAAGATGTGAGGGAAGACTTCGAAATCGTTAGTGTTCACATCACCGAAATACATATGGGAAAACATGTACCAGTATTTGAAGAAGAATTCGTCAAAAGCATCAACGTTACCCTGCATAATGCTGCCAATGTATTCAATGGATTCGGGTTTGCGCAAGTCAATGGTCTTGCCTTCGTAGGTGACATAGACACCCTTGGTGATGATTTCATCCAAACGGTTAAAGAAGTCCATAACCTTGTAGTAGTAGTCGAATTTGCCGTAGCTTTCAACTTCGAAGTAGTTCTTGCGGTAAGAGTAACCAACACCATTGTAGTAAACCAATTGAGGGTTGTAACCGTATTCGATGGTGTTGAAGTAGGAGAATTCGGGAATTTCGCCAAAACCGTGAGACAAACGTTCCATGTAGTAACGAGACAAAATTTGGCGGACAATGTACAACCAGTATTCACCACGACGATCCTTGTTCAAGCCATAGGTCCTGCCATCTAAGAAGAAAGCGTAGTCCATGTTAAGGTAGTACCAGTAGGCGTTGAAACCAACATCTTCGGTGAAGTAAGACAAAGCAGATTCCTGGTTGAAGAATTCAATGTCACGGGTGTAATCGACAGGCATGAAGAACATCTTGGTACCTTCGAAGATTTCCAGGTATTTAGGGTTCTTGTACTTATCCATATTACCTAGCAATATGATGTGTTCTTCAGGGTACCACTGCTCGTCCAAACCCATCATCTTCCACCATTGCCACGTCTGCCAGTCCTTGGTGTAGAAATAGTAGTAATGGCTGTCAAATTTCATGCTATCCTTGTAGAGGATATCCTTGTATTCCTTCTCGTACATGATGTATTTGCTCCAAACATCGTAATCGAATTTCTCAGCTTCATAAACGAATTTGCTGTTGAAGAAGTTTTGAGGGAAGATTTCGTAGATGGAAGGCAAGATCAAGCCATGGAAATCATCACGGTGGATGACGGCCAAAGTCAAAGCATAGACGAACATGCCTTCGTTGCAATGCATACGAGCCCAGGCAACGTTGCGTTGGAAGACTTCCCAGTTCTTGGCATAGTAGAAGAATTCAAACAAACCATAAGCCTGTTTAAAGTGGGTCTTTACCAGGGCCCCGAAGAATTCACCCTTGGGTAAAAGAGCATCATGCTTGTAGGCTGCATATAATTTCTCCATGTACATATCGAAGTGCTGTAATTCAACTTCATAATTAAAAAAAATGCTTTGTATGAAGTTAAGATTATCCTTGTAACTTACAGTGTAGTCAGCCTTGTCAAGGGCGAAAGTCTTGCCCAACTTGATCCATTCCTCGAACATCAAGGGATCCTCAACGCGGTAAACAATTTCGAAAAGGAACTTTTGTTTAGCCAAAAAGTCCTTGTCGGCGATTTTGACTTCATGCTTAGAGATGCTGCTTCTAGCAACCAAGCTAACAATGGCCAATAAAACAATGGCGATTTTCATTGTTTTGTCCTTCAGTAGAACTGGAAAATATTGCGAAATTTATATTAGAGTTTGATGCAACGATCAGTTCCAATACCTGAAGACTACTGATGTTTTAGAAATATGCTAGGTTTTATATACAAATTGATTTGGTGGTTGGTTTACTGGATTAATCGTTTTGATAAGAGATTTCTGGTGATTTGAGTTTGATAATTTGTTGACATGTTTTTAGCTAAGCCTGCAATGGAGTTATAACAAATGTTTCCTAAGATTATCTTGGATTTATGATTTACATATATTGGAGTTTTCGAAATAATTTCCTAATAAGTACTTCACCTATTAGGTGAATATATAATTGCTGCTATGGAATCCTAATAAAACAATTTGAATATACGGTAAAAACAACAATAGTCATTATGTGTAAAATATTTGGTTAGCTAACAATTTGGAAAGTTTTCTGAAGTGTCAAGTTTATTGAAATAACCTGTATTCTGCTGATTTATATACATACCCCAAGCTTTTGCCACAAAAAATTGTGATTGAAACTGGATATCTTAGATTAAAGTCCATCAAATTATTTATACTTACACATACACCTCATTTAATACACCTAACAGTGGCAAAGAAAGTGTTTCAGAGTTTTACTGTCCTCTCCACTTGCTCTACATTTGTTTGAATCCGCACGTCCAATTTTGTATAGATGTGCTCGTAATCCTGTGTGTCCACTCAGAATACGTACCATCATACCAACCTCAGACTTGCTCGTTTTGAGTAGATTTCTCGTCTCTCATCAGGGTCACAACATAGGTTCTTTGAATTAGGAATGGGTTCTATTTTCTCTTTCACCGAAAAATTATGACAGAGTTAATCGTTTCTTAGAACACATCAGTTTTGACGAAATTTTGAATGTTAAATTAATTAAAAACTATTCAAAGAAACAAATACAAACTAAATGGTTTTTAAATCATTTATTATTTTTTTTTTTTTTTACAAAACTTATTTTTTAGTATTTTTATACATAATCATAACCAGATTCACAATATTTTAACAATATTTTTAATGATAGTAGCTGTAGTCAAAGTGGCCGAAGTTTTCGTATTTCTTGCCATAATACTTTTCAAAAGTGTCTTTGTGGTAGATCTTGACATCCTTGAAGTACATGTTGGGTACGAAGAATTCGTATTCATCGATTTCACGATCGAAGGGATAGCCGAAAGGCATTTCATCAACATAACGAACACCAGAGCCAATACCACAAGAGTAGGTGTAGTCGAAGGTAGACAAGTGTTCGTGGGAGGCGGTGTAAGGAGTGACGTAGAAGAATAATTGCATGGGCATACCCTTGGCCCAACCACGGGGCAAGATCAAACGGTCAGGGAAACCACAGTGAGGTTCACTGATGTCCAATGGGAAGTCGTATTTGCCTTCAATAGCAAGCATGACATATTTGTACAATTCAGTGTAGGAAGTACGGTCTTCGGTGGTCCAGTAGAAGTCCTTGGAGAGGCGTTTGAATTCATTGACACCAGAGTTAAGAGTGTAGATGAAGGAATCAATTTCCATGAAGTTTTCACGGTTTTCAGTCAAGGAGATGACACGGCCGAATTCGTCATATTTGGGACCCAAGAAAGTACGGATGATAACCTTGTGAGATTTGTCGGATTCAATGGTGAAATCGAATTCGAAAGGTTTGTGGTTGAGACGCATTTGACGAGCCAACAAGGTCTTGTCCCAAACGAATTTGCCATCAACGAAAGTCATCTCGTCGTTCAACAAGTTGGTAACATCGAAGTCAACCAAATCGAAGAAGGTAACCAATTCACTGACCTTAACGTCCTTGATGGTGACACCAGGGAACAACAACTCTTCGTGAGTGTAGGGTTTGACATAGTAGAAGAATTGGTAGTAGACAGAAGCGATCTTCTTGTAGAACATGTAGAACAAAGGATCACGCATCATGGTTTCGAAGTTCAAGAAAGTGTGAGGGAAGACTTCCATATCATGGTGGTCAACATCACCGAAGTACATATGGGCGAACATGTACCAGTACTTGAAGAAGTATTTATCGAAGGTATCAACATTGCCTTGCATGATGCTGCCAATGAATTCAATGGATTCTGGTTTGCGTAAATCAATGGTCTTGCCTTCGTAAGTAACATAAACACCCTTGGTGATGATTTCATCCAAACGGTTGAAGAAGTCCATAACCTTGTAGTAGTAGTCGAATTTACCGTAGCTTTCAACTTCGTAGTAGTTCTTGCGGTAAGAGTAACCAACACCATTGTAGTAAATCAATTGAGGGTTGTAACCATATTCGATGGTGTCAATGAAGGAGAATTCGGGAATTTCACCAAAGCCGTGAGACAAACGTTCCATGTAGTAACGAGACAAAATTTGACGGACATTGTACAACCAGTATTCACCACGACGATCCTTGTTCAAACCGAAAGTCTTGCCATCCAAGAAGAAAGCGTAATCCATGTTGAGGTAGTACCAGTAGGCGTTGAAACCAACATCTTCGGTGAAGTAAGACAAAGCGGATTCCTTGTTAAAGAATTCAATGTCACGAGTGTAATCAACAGGCATGAAGAACATCTTGGTGCCTTCGAAGATTTCCAAGTATTTGGAGTCCTTGTTGTATTTATCCATGTTTTCGCGCAACATGAAACGGTCTTCAGAGTACCAGTGTTCACCCAAACCCATCATCTTGTACCATTGCCACATCTTAAAGTCCTTGGTGTAGTAATAGTAGTAGTGGTTGTCATGGTTCTTGTAGAAGGTAGCATAGTCCTTGTAGAGGATATCCTTGTATTCCTTTTCGTACATGATGTATTTGCTCCAGACATCATAATCGAATTTCTCAGCTTCATAAACAAATTTGCTGTTGAAGAAGTATTGAGGGAAGATTTCATAGATGGAAGGCAAGATCAATCCTTGGAAATCATCACGGTGGATGACGGCCAAAGTCAAAGCATAGACGAACATGCCTTCGTTGCAGTGCATACGAGCCCAGGCAACATTGCGTTGGAAGACTTCCCAGTTCTTGGCGTAGTAAAAGAATTCAAACAAACCATAAGCTTGTTTAAGGTGGGTTTCTACCAAAGCACCGAAGAATTCACCCTTAGGTAAGAGAGCATCGTGTTTGTAGGCTTCGTAGAATTTCTCCATGTACATATCGTAGTGCTGTAATTAAATTGAGATAGTCCACAGTAAGATCCTTTGGAATTAATTTAGCTTTTATGGTTAACTTACAGTATAATCAGCCTTGTCAAAAGTGGTGCATGTTTTGGCCAATTTGATCCATTCCTCGAACATCAAGGGATCCTCAACACGGTAAACAATTTCGAAAAGGAACTTTTGTTTAGCCAAAAAGTCCTTATCGGCGATTTTTACATCGTGCTTAGAGATGCTGCTGGCAGCAACTAAGCCAACTATGGCTAATAAAACAATGGCGATTTTCATTGTTTAGTCCTTCCTTAGAGTTTGATGCAACGATCAGTTCCAATAGCAAAAGACTGCTGATATTTTGGAAATTTGCTAGGGTTTTTATACAATTTTTAAGAATGATTTTTCATATGTATGTATAATTTTATCAGCCGTCATGTGCAGCCAGGTGATAGTTTTTTGTTGATAAGTCCATTTATTACCTATTCTGATTAGAATTTATAACACCTTATTGGTATAAAGATTTCGATTTGATTTGGTCTTTATAATTATGGGGTTTTTAAGGTTGTTTTTAATATTTCTTTTGATAAGACTTGATAATGTATTTTATTTTGCATAAACTTCTTCTGTAGATGCGAATGCATGCGAATTTTTGTTAATTCATATGCAATTTTGGGTTCACATATATATAAAGGTGATGATCCCCAGATTGTGTTTATTGCTAATAAATTTTTAATGTTTTTTTTTAACACCTGTTCTTTCGTTTCTAAGCTACAAATTTGCCAAACATTTATTTTTTAAGTAATTTTTTCGGCATTGTGCATATTCTCTTAAAGAAGTATATCGGATTAGATATTTATCTTGTTGGGCATATTTTCTTTAAGAATAAATTCTTGCTTGTAATTAATCCTACAGAATTCAGAATAACAACTTAATCATCCATATTGACATCTTATATTATCACTTTAAGCTTCGCATCGCCTACAGCACTCGCTCTAACATCAGCCTTATTTGTTCATTCCTATAATGATTGAATTCATTAATATAATGTAAACCCAAAGATTGTAGCTTTTGAGCAATTTTTAGATGGAAACAGAAGTAAGTGTTAATGTACTTATTTTAAATACATAGGTTTCATTATTTCAAAACACTGTATATGTCACCATGAAACATATTCTTTTTATTTATAGATCATATATTTGTGGTTTTTAGAGAATATCCGGCAATATTGCCTATAGATCTTCTAGAATTACATTATATTCATATGTAGATTTGGGTGTCTCCATTTGTAAGAAGAAAAAATAACTTACTAACTTGTCCCAGAATAGATGTTGATGTCAAGAAGTAGATAGAAATTATATCTTAGAATGACCTAGATTTTTATTTGCGGCGAGAACAGCAACAATGTCCACTTTGAGGCCAACCCAAGGCAGATTATACAGTTTTAATATATTTTACTTAAACCGTAGTTCTCAAAGGGCTTTTTCAATAACATTTTGATATTTTTGCTGTTTGCTATAGCAAATAACCAATATTGCTTGTTCCAATCTCTTGCTCGAACCTCATAGGTTTACTTGCTCAAAGTTAGCTTATTAACTGCACAGGCCAACGAAATGAAGGTTTGTAAAATCTTTTAATACAAGCTTTTCTGAAGTGCTGAATCCGAATCAGATATGGGTTTTTTTTATCACCCACAATTTTCTCAGAATATATTATTTGTTCATATATAACGGACATTTTATATAATTATGAAAATATATTTACGTTTTAGGGTTAATTTACATGTTTTTGATATCATCATAAATACGAGTCTTCATTATATATTTTTCTTAAGATTCATTTAAATCGGTTGAAAACAAAATAATAATTCACTATGGTTTCAGGAACATTTTCTAATATTGCAAAGCTTTAGTTTGACCTCTTCAGTTTGTGGGTTAAAATTAT